AAAAAAAACTTTTACCTGAAAGACTCATAAATCAAAAACACAATTACTTTTTATAAAAACACCAAATATACACTACAACCCCACATGTTGTATCCTGGGATAAGTTTAATACATAAATCTGAAAATAAAATCTTAACTTTTTGTGTAAAAACTTCTTTATATGAAAAATTAGATAAAAACTCACCAAAGAGCTCTACAGATCAGTTTTAAGTCAGATTTCTCCTAAAGTAGATCCAGTAGATATGAGTGGTACTTCACCACAGACACAGGTTCTTAAAACCATAAAGGCTCCGCCCACCCATAGAACACACACATACGCTCCGCCCACCCATAGAACACACACATACGCTCCGCCCACCCATAGAACACACACATACGCTCCGCCCACTCGCGAGTTTCATTCTGATAAAAATTCCTCTTCAAGTTTTGTCTCCATTCTTTTTCTCAGTATCTTTTGTCTCCAAACTGTAACAGCTAGTTTCCCTCATCTCTTGCAGTTTTGCTGACTTTTGCTGCCTTTACAAAACCATTTCAGTTAATTATGAAATAACTAATTTTTTAGACTTTTAATGTATTTAAATAATAAATATTCTTACCACGAATCAATGGGGAATCATTTAATGGAATAATTTTAATTAATAGACACTTTCCTGACTGAAATAAACGAGTATATGGGCTTCCAAATTGACGGGGTTTGTTTGTTTTTGTCGCCCTCTGCTGGTTGATTGTACAAACTTGTGATCCATTCAATGTCCTGTAAAGATGTGGGAAAACTTTACTTTTTACTTGATCTTACTTAAAAACAGCAGTGTTACCTGACTCAGTTCCAGTTAATAAATCAAAGTTTGTGTAGTTAACCTGTGTGAGTTTATTCGCGTGTTTTTTGTTTTATTTTTTCTTAAACATTTATTAAATTTGAATTATTATTTTTTTAGATTTTTCTGATGTTTCCTACTTTGTCACTGTGTTCTCTGTTTTTATTTCCCCTTGGACAGATCGGCATTAAACACTGAGCTGCGGTCCAACACCAAAAGACGAACCGGACTGCTCTTCTCAGGTTCTGGTTGTGTAGTTTCCCACTGGTCTTTGAACGCTCCTCCCGTCAGTCTCTGCGTCAACAGCCGCTCCGGTGTGTCTGATTGTTTATTTGTTTATTTGTTTGGATTCTTTCGGGTCGGTACCGGGCAGGCAGACCCACCGGTTCGGCTGGTGTCCACACGGTGAGTCCACAGCTGTCATTTCTCATTAATGTCGTCAGTCTTAAGCTGATTTTTTTAACCTAACTAGTTTAGCCCGTTAGCTCCTACATGGATTAAATTCTCTGTTTTTATTTTCGTTATTGAACCGAACTGCAGCGTTTTCCTGCTTTCTCACACATAAACCAACAAAAAAACCCGTTTTCATCAACGTTCAGACACGTCTGCTGCCTCCAGACGTGCTTTTCGTGCACGTTTCGTGTGTTTGTAGCATCTGTTAGCTCGCATGCTAACACGTTAGCARGTAGGATCACCTGAAAACAGGTGAGCTTCCGCATCGGGCTGGCAGCGTCATTGAACGCACCATCACCGGAAATTATCACTAAATTGTTTAAATCTAAACTCAGAACAAATGACTACATTTTTAATGAATGAACTAAGAATTAAAGATCTTAAATCTTGTTAAAGCTGCTGCCATTAGCTCATTATTGTCACCATGGTAACCGCCCACCTGTTTCTGTCACTCCCTGACACAGGTTGTAAACTAAGCTTAACTGTACAGAAAGTGAGTCAGATTTAAAGTGTTTTAAATGGTGAGTGGTAGGGATGCAAGTTATCGATTAATGATTTAGTTGATTGATTTTATCGATTGACTAATGCTTAATTGATAAGCGGGCATTTTCAAAACAGGAATCTGCCAAAAATTTCTGCCAGTGGAGTAAGAAAACTTTACTTGGTAAGATTCTTGAAATAAGAAAAAAAAATTGAGTCAAATCAAGCATTTCAATAAGTCTTACCAAGTAAAATTTTCTTACTCCATTGGCAGATATTTAGACTTAATTTGAGTCAAATTTTCAGACTAACAAGACAAATAATCTTACACATTCTGAAAATAAGATTATTGTCCTTACACAATCAGTTCTTGTTTAGTAAATCAAAGATTTTAAAACTTGGTTAGGTGGACATTTTTTTGCAGTGTATATTGTGACCAGAGGGGTCGCTGTTGCGTTTCTACAACAGAACTTGGCCACAAGGGATATGATACGCCAAACGTGTTGTCATTAGGGGTGTAAGAAAATATCGACACACTGAAATATCGCGATATTTCA